TAATATCCGCATCGAACGTTCAGCATCATCTCCAGAACCAGTTGATCTGCAGTTCCCATCCGAATCTATGATTCTCCCTATTCGGCGTTCCTTCACAGAAACTTATAATCCTTCTGCCATCTCACCGAATTATCATACTCCACCAAAGTCCCAAAGTTTATTTTCCAGCATCCTTCGTCGTCATCGCGGTACTCCCAAACATGACGTTCCTTGGGAAAGCGATGAAGATGCGGCACCTCCCACTCCTCCGAAAGACAATGCTGCTCCAATAGCTAGCTATACACTCAACTCCCGAAGAAACATCACTCAACCCAACCCAGACTTCAGAAACAGTCTCGCAGAATTCGCATTTATATCACATCCTATACCAACCGATGACGAAGTCATAGTTGAACATCCTAATCCTCCCTCCAAATCACCGCCCCAGCCATCCACAAACAACGTTAACGGAACTCTGTTCTCTATTCCAATTGGCCGCAAATGGGTACAGGACACTGTATACATACCAGACCCAGAGGAACGTGCACGGAGACGACGGCTCGCTCAACAACAACGTGCGCTCGAAGAACGACAGGCTTTACGGGAAGAGATGGAACGCCAGGAGCGAATAAAGGAAGAGAAACAAGTATTGAAACGCCAGGAAGAGGCGGAAGAGGCTTGGCGAAAAGCAATGCTGGAACAAGAATTACGAGAAATCACAGCCCAGCGTCGTTCCCGGGAGCAAAGAGAAAAGGAAGAAGATGCTAGACAGAAGCGGGAGATTGAATTGAGGAAAGAAATGGGCCGGAAACGGAGGATCGAGGAACATGAAAAGCTGGAAAAGTTGCGTCAACAATTGGCGCTGGAAGTGGAGGCAGAGAAGAAGAAAGAAGAGGATGATAGGAAAAGGGCGGATGCTGCAAGAAAGATTAAGGTTCAGGAAATGGTCAAGGAAGTGAAAATGGAATTGAGGTCCACTGGCTGGACAACGGCGTGGGTGACTTTACAGACGGGCGATTCTCTTGTGTGGCGGAGACGGTACATCAAGCTCGTTGGTAGCAAAATTCTTCTGTATCGGAGTCCAAAGGTGGGTACAGCTCGAACTCTGTTGGCGTTTAGCAATAATTCACATTCTCTCTATCACTCTCTTTCCACAGGACATGAACCAAGTTCTAGATGAAGTTGAACTTCGCGGCCAAATTGCTAGTCTCAGCGAACCGCACGAGGGGTTCGAGGAGCTCAAGGCCATTCAACACTCATTCGCTATCGTATTCAAGGATGGACGAGAACCATGGTCTATTTTTGGTGATACAGAGGAAGAGAAGGTACAGATTGATCTTTCTTGCAATCTGGCTCTTTCTCTAACTACACTTCTGTGCAGATCAAGATGCTGGGAATGCTTCAATATGCAGCTGGTCTGTAGCATGGAGAGAGTCAAGCTCAGTATACCTATCTATTTTATAAGATACCCCTCTGTGTTAGTACTTCAATTTTAAGTCCATTTTATTTGGAATTATTTCAGTTCATATATAAGCTTCGCAGAGCAAATATAATTTACTCACTCAACCCCAGAACTTTCGCCCCTCAAATGCAAAAATTTCGCGCTTGAAAACCTGAAATGGTCCCCAATCTCCATGGCCTCGAGGGAACATTCTCAATCTGTCAATTACTGCCATCAGTGAGGAGCCGTTCCAACTGTCGCAGTGGAGCTCTTGCCATTGCAATGATAAATAAGTCAACACCGTCCGCCGCATTGCGCAGCGGAAAACAGCAAGCCCGTTGGTCCGGCATCCTACACGCAGTATACTAAGTGTACTCCCTTCGCATCTGCGCTCAAGTACAGACTTCGCTAATTTCCTTACGAAAATGTTCAAGTACCAAAAATAGGTGCGCAACATTACACGACCACTGATCTACTTCTATCTCATACTGGAGCTTATATCGCTCACTGACAGAACCAGCTATCAGGATTTATACTATCACCTGTCCCGTTATATGTGTTCCGAAGTGGATACCGGCAATGTCTCCTACTGAATTGCACCCCCAAGTCTTCCGTATCATTCACATATTTTGTACCCAGGATCGTATCCGGCGCGACACCCTCTTCCACCCATTTGACCAGTGCGGTTAGTACATTCCGCTCAGGACTCAACGTCTCCTCCCTCAACTCTCCGCTTGCTCCAGGTAAAGTCTGGCCGATTTCCCATGCTCCAGGACCCCCTGCGCAGTGACTCATCCCGCTTATGCGGAAGAATCGTAGGAAGTCGTCTAGCTCGGCCGGTCGAAGGCTCATTGTTCGCTCGACATGGGCGTAGTAGAGCTCCATGTTGATGGGGGACACTATCATGTCCGCTTGACCTTGGTAGGTAAGCATTTTCCCTCCCCGCGATCTAAAGGCAGATAAATTGCCATTCCATGTTTCTATATTGAACGGATTCAGCTCTTGGGCATGAGTCCAGTCAGTGACGTTCAGCGTTGAGAGGTCGAATGAAGGGTTGTAGACTGCGTAGCGAAACCAATCCTATCAACAAAAAAAAAAAAACCTTTGGTGAGTTACTGAAGACCAGCTAGTGGATGTGCGTACTGCAGAAGTCTGCATTAACTCTCCATCGTACATTTCGCCGATGTAATCAGCATTTTCACTTCCAGGTTGCTGCCTCGGATACATCAGCTTTCCATTCGAGTTGTATAGAGGACTGAACACCAATCGAAGAGCATATACTTGTTCTGCAGTAAGACAATCTGAGGTATTGCTCGAAGGACTGCAGATCAACTCTTCTGGTTTGTAGTCGCATAAATTGGGATCTTCGATAATACCGTCAACGACACCGTCGATGAAGTCGCACTGCTTCAGAATGTTCTGGTGAACAAGGCCAAGCCATTGATCGTTGGAAATAAAGGTGGGAGAGGAAGCATTTCCGAGTACGCTGTATATGTAATCCTCCCAAGACATCAACGAATTCCAATTAATCCCAGGCGAACCAGCGACAATTCCGTCAAAATCGTCAGGAAAGTCTTGCATCGATTTGAAGCCTTGACGACCACCGGTAGAGCATCCCAAGTAGTAGGACGTATTGTGAGGTGCGCCGTAGAACATTTTGGTGATTTCCTTTCCGACCACTGAGTTCGTATGAATGCTGTAGGTGAGGAACATCAATACACCTTGTGCAGACTTAGTAGAGCTTACTCACGAGCGATAGGCAAAGTCAGCAAGGACCTCCGGGTTGTGATAGAACGATGCACCGCTAGTTCCATTGTGCCCGTTGTTGGAACCTACAGTGGCGAATCCGAGCGCCGTTGCGTATGCTAAATCGACGTACTGGATGCCTGAGCATAAGGAGTAAGTTCAAATGTAAGTAAGAAATTGAGGCATATACATACATCCACCTAGTCCGCCATTTCCCGTGCTCAAAAATCGACCAGTCCAATTCCTAGGGAGCCATACTTCCATTATAATCCCTGACTGCGCTGATGTAGACACATTCAAAGCGACTCTGCACATGTCCGCAAGGACAACCTGAGAGGACGTCGTCGAAGCACACGATGGATCTTGGTCCGGGAACGTCAAATTTGTCCCAGTAGAGACTGTGTCTGCGAAAAAGATTGTGGTGTTAGCGACGGAGTTCGCTACTTGAGTTGCAAAACTATTGCATGTCGCCTCGAAAAGAGCCAAAAGGCTCCCCAAATGAGATCTGGGTAGACATCCACAAAGTAAAGGCAAGGTACGAAAGGCTAAGCATGGTTAGAACTTTGATCTGGATATTTCGCTATCTGAGCCACTTCGTTATATAGCGTTCAAACTGTTCAATCTCGGACCCGTCGAATGTCTGGTACTGTATATTCATCCCTATATACTCCACTTTTGACTAGGGCAAGAAAAAAAAGATACATCCAGATTCAAGAACACGCTCGGACGCGACCAGTAAGAATTGTTTAGCTTAGTGAATATTGCACCGTAATAATCGCCTAATGGCAGAGGGTCTCTATTGCAGGAAGAGCGTAGAGCTCGGAATGGAGGGTAAGGATGAAGGAAGTTGACGCGATCATATTGGGAACGGGGTGAAGAAATTCAAAGAGTGACAGCCTGAGCGCATACCATGACTCACGGTTTGCGAAAACATGATATGTATTTGAGGTTGATGTGCAACTTGCACTGCATAGATATATAAAATATTATAAACGAGTACTGAAGCTCAATATAAATCAGCCACTGACTCAAGACGAGTCATAGGATCATGTATACTATGAGTTTCCATGTTTCTTCTTGCAATGCAGACGACTTCAACGATGCTTCTTGCAAAGTTCAGCTTAGGTTCGCTCCGTGTTCATCAACTGTCAGCTCTCTTCCCCTGGTAGATTTCAGTCACTAACTTGAGTTTCTCGTTTCATATCCGAGATTTATAGAGAGGCACGCGCAAAAAACTAGCAGATAGTTTATTCATTTCAATCGTTGGCTTTATACAACCTGATCCACTGACTTCCGTTCTACAACCTTTCCACACGTCTTTATTCTGGAGTGGAAGATCCAGACCCTTGCATGCCGGCGAAGGCCGCGGCAGCATTCCCAGCAGCCTGAAATCCAGCAACTGCTACGTCGTGCTTGTTGGTACCAGAGCCGGAGTTCTCATTACTCTTAGGCTCCTCTGTAGACTTGGGCTCCTCCTTTTGCTCCTCCTTGTGCTCCGCAGGTTCAATCCCCTTTTTCTTCTTGCTCCTCCTCCTTTTACCGAGCAATACTAGGGTCAAAAGGAGAATAGTAATCAAATTATCGTTGATTGCTGCCTCTAAACCAAAAGTAAAAACTTACTGGAATCATGGTGGTCAAGACCACGCGAATCCAAAAGAGAATGACCTGAGACAGTCTCCGCAACTGTTTCCACTGCATCGGCACCTTCAGCAGCTTTGCCTGCGTGGTCTAGGAATTTGGCTGCTTCTTTACCGAAGGATCTACTGTGTGTAGAAATATCTTTGGCGGTGAATTCAAATGCGATATATTCCAGTACGCCTAACAGTGTTACATGGCTTCCTTGGCTCAGTTGGCTAGAGCGCGAGTCTCATACCGAATGGTTTGAGGTCATTGGATGACTGTAATCTCGAGGTCGCAAGTTCGAGCCTTGCAGGGAGCATGTAGTTTTTGCCCCATCGTTTTCTTTTTCTCCTTAAACAACAAAATTCGTTTTGATTCTCCAATCGTAATGTTTGTATAATTTAGAAATAAGGATAGTGTTCTACAATTCATTTGAAAACATGAAGCGCTTGCAAACGTGGATCCTTCCCTGCTTCGACTTCCGACCTGCGGTTGAAAATCCATATAGACACTCTAGGTTCATCTGTGCGTCTCCATTGAGATTCAAGGTCTTTGACGCTACTTAGCACATTCCTTTGCCAACATGGCCCCCAGTCATCCTCAAGATCCACAAATACTATGCCCCGTGAGGGCGGAGGCTGGACTGGATTATATTTCCTCGGATTCCACCTACATGCACCAAGGAAAGCGTCCAATCCGTTCACGCGAATACCAGATTCGACTATGGGTCTGATAGAAGGGAGGCTCGGCTGACTCTTCTTCAGGAAAGGCACCCAAAATAATGCGTCTTTGAAGAACGGGTCGAGCAATGATGAACCAACTAAAGATGCGTTGAGAGCCGCTTCATACTTGAACGATTCTTGTTGAGATTGGATGAGAGAAGTAGGAGGACTCGGGTACAGTCTCATCTTTGTTGTAGTCGGAGCGGTGAGATGAATCGCAGAGAGTTGACAATTTTCATCCTTCGTAGACGGGGAAGTTTTTCTGGGAGAGCCTTCATGGAATGTAGATTGTATCGTATTCGTTGCAGACTGCAGTGGAGCAGCTCCGTTATTCTTGGGAGGAAATGGTTCCATAGAGAAAATCACGACGTCAGCATAGTTTTTGAGAATGGCAGAACGGGATGAATAAGAAACCGTTCGATTGTCGGGAGGCGGAAGAACGCCGTTACTATCCCCATTGAACGAAGGAGCTGTTTCTAGAAAATTTCGTCCAGAAACATCCAACAAATGGTGTGAGCGACGAGAGGCAGGAGTACACCACCCCGCAAGGTTGCTCGGAATGGCCTCGTCGGCGCCGTTGCACGCCTTCCTCTTTCGCGGCAGAGCTCCAATTTCATCGCGACCAGAGCGTCTACGTTTCCCCAATATGATATGTTTGGAGGTTCTGCTCCCACCCTTGCTCGTTCCGCCTCGGCTTCTCTTAGGTTTGTCCGCTTCAGCGACTTTTGCCCTCCACATTTCTACCCGCTTACGCATGCCATTAGGCCTGTGACATGGAACATTATCCTCTACCCGTGCATCCGGGTGCTCGAACGTGGTTTCCGCTTCCTTACGGGCTGTCTCCTTAGCTGCAACACGACCCATCGCCTCACGGGCTTGTTTTCGAAGGTCCTGCAAAGACGTACAATCCAACCATGTACGTTCGTGGCGACGAAAGTACTTTGTGATCCGAGGCCAGCGTAGCTCGTATTCCTAAATGCATGCTTTTTAGGATTTGACCCACAAGTTAGAGGATTATTACGGACCTTGCTTCCCTCGGAAACAGTGAACCTGTCCCCATACAATTCCACTGCTATTGGCTCCCTTAACATAAGTTCAGGCGTTGCAAGCTTTTGATACATTGTATACGTATATCTAAGTGCATCCCTTGGCTGAGTCACGTAATGGGAATAAATCAGCGTTCTGTAAATTGTTGGCCAACGCACGAACCGTTTGTTTCGCGCTGCATCGAATAGGATCATCATTCCTAATCAAAAAGTTCAGCCGTTCCAACTCTGCTCGGGACAATCCATACGCGGCAGTGAAATAGATGTAAAAATGGGGCAATGCTTCGTGCTAGAATCATTGAGTCAGTGGTTTGAACGTCCAAAGTGGAAGTGGCGCACAATATTCGCTGTTTCTTCTTTGTTAGTCTGCGCGCCGATGTAGAACGTTGTTAATGTCGTAGAAGCAACTGATAATTGACTGGGCATTCAGAGACCATCCAGAATAGCGCAAGTTAATTATTACCTCTGAGCTCCAGTGCACGATCTGGAACACACGCTGCACCCAAAAGAACTAAATCAACATTATCACCAAGCCCCTCGATGTAATCCTTCTTCAATTTGACCCAGGGCTTTTTGAGTTCGTTGTACTCCGAGTCCGCTGCTTTGAGAACTAAGCCTTCCTCACCAGCTGCTATGCGTCGAGCAAATATCGCATGCAAGGTCCGCCTCGCAGCGCTTACATCTCCTTCGTTTTCCTCCTCAATGCTTCCTTCATGGTCGCTGACAAGTTCCCCATCGCCATCCGCCCTATAGTCTTCGCTGAAATCATAATCGCTCGGAGAGTCTTGGGAGTGTTCGGCGAGGTCGATAAGCCACCTATCCGCCAGCAGGGCTTTTCCTGGTTCTTGGATGATGAGATCTTCGAGGATTTCGCGACGACGACAATAAGGTGTCTGTACTAAAGAATCCCCATCACGATACATGACATCGAAGAAGACGAGGCCAAGATGTTGGCCTTCTGCGTCGGACGTGAGGGACGATTCAGAGGCACAATCGTCTCTATGTACAATCAGATGAAAGAAAGTATAAAAGGCGGAATTCACACTTACGACTGATGCTCCTCTTCCTCTTGGGATTCGTCCCTCATCCATCTTCGACTGCCTCTACCTCTGACGCCCGCAGCCGTTTCACGGATTAATCTTCTTATACGCCAGAACTCTGTAAATACAGCAGATGAGGATTAGTCGCAACAGGGAAATATTTTTCATCACCCAGAATCTTTGTCTTCTCGAAGGGGACCATCTCAGCGTCCAATATAACACTACTGTGAATTCGGGGCTTGATACCTGGCCGACCACTTAACCCCAAACAATCCAGAATCACCGCGTGTATCGCTCGACGATCGCCTGTTGAATCCCGCTTGCTTTTACTGAATATCGTAATGCGAGGCTTCTGACTGGGTATGACTTGAACATGAATCTGTGCCCGTTCTCCATCATATTTGGTTTCCGCCCAGACTTGAGATGATTCTGAAAAAAATGAGAGGGCGTGCTTGCAACTACGACCCTTTTGAGATTTCGGGACCTGTCGTGTAGATGAAAATCGTCAAGGTTTGAACAAAGAGCATCACAAAATCAAAAAAAAGATAGAGTGCCGGAAAACATACCCCAATTTGAGTCCCAAGCCTCGGTCCCACCTCATTTCCACTCTCAAAAGCCTTGGCCGCAGCATCCATATCCCATCTCGCTCGATACGACCTATTCATCTTGTTTGATGGATCCCATGCAAACATTGCATTTTCTTTTGTCATTACTTTGACTGCCCTGGTGTTGTAGTCCTTCAGCGCGGCCGTAGGATCCGTTTCGAGCAATGGGTACAGAAGTCCTCGGAGGTCTTTCAATATGATCTGGGTCAGCACAGCAGCTTCCCATGGTATCATTTGTCGATAAAGAGATTTCAAGATATCCTTTCTTGTCAGCAGGGATTTCGTAGAATGACGACTGAGGTTCTTCTTCGAATAATCTAAGTGAGACCACGGTGATGTAGACGCCAATTGATCCAGCAGTCCGTTCACCTCAAATATATCGAGATTCCCGCGATAAGTATCGTCAGGCTATTGTGTTTTTTGTTAGTTAAGCTCCGTTGACGCGCCTAGTACCACTCACGGAATACCTCTGGTCAAGAAATTCACGAACTTTGTCGCCTGGGCAGCCTACGAAGTCATCCTGATCCGTCAATGTCTCTTCGTTTATACCAAGGCTGTCCGCGATATCGCGAATGAGAGTCTTGTCCCTTAAACCAAACTTTCGCTTGTGGTCTTCCTCGGGAAACAAGAATCGAAAAATGATTGAAGTGGTGCCTGGCAAAAGAGGTCCAGCCTGCATGTCCCGAGAAAATCTCTTAAATACATCGAGCACAGGAAACCAGGCTTTCGCCTGATATTTTCCCGCCGCCTTGCGTTCAGCAATGGATTTGGGTTTGCTCCTGTTCGCAGTTTCTTGAACAAGTACCGCGAAACTAGACAAATATCAATCGGTCATTAAGTTCTACAGCTAAGAGACACGTACTGAAGAAATTTTGTGGGCTCTGGAATGTCCCTCTTGGACATTTGGTTTATCACCAGGTATCGCTCGTGGTGGTCAAGAGTGAGTCAACCAAACAATACATTAAGCGCCGGTCAGATAGACGAACGCGTCGACGTCATATTTTCAAAGCCAACTCTCTATCTTTCACTCCCATGCTCTCTAGAACAATCATTCGGTCTCCAGGCCGCACTTTTTCTACCTCTACAGCTGTGCTCAACCGCTGCATAATATACACACAGAACGGTGATCCTGCCCAAGTCATTCGTGCTATAACGTACCCAAAACTTCCTTCACCTCCGCCGAATACTGTGAATCTCAAATTTCTTTTATCACCTATAAATCCAGCCGATGTAAATACTATAGAAGGTGTCTACCCCTCTAAGCCCAGTCCAACGTCCAACATTGCTGCTTCAGGCTTAGGGAGTCAGGACAAACCAGTCTTTGTCGGAGGAAATGAAGGATTAGCACAGGTTGTTGAAGTCGGGGAAGGTGTGAAGGAATTGAAGAAAGACGATTGGGTGGTAATGGATCGGCCGCAATTGGGTACATGGTCGACAAGTCGGAACGTTCCTTTCCACGGTGTTATAAAGCTTCCGGCTAGTGGATTAACGGAAGCCCATGGCGCAACCATGACAGTATGTTTCTTTATTTCACACAAAGCATTGCTCCATAATGATCACCTTAGGTAAACCCAACGACTGCGTATAACATGCTTGATGGGTTTGTCAAACTCCAGGAGGGTGATTGGGTCATTCAAAATGGAGCGAACAGTGCGGTTGGTCTTACTACTTTTCCTGAAGGCATTTCCTGATGTATGCGCACACATAGGTCGGCCAACTTGTCATACAAATTGCTAAAGATAGAGGTCTGAGCACTATCAATTTTGTTCGTTCCCGGTGAACAAATGTTTGCTTGGCTTCAAGGAAATGCGATTCTGATCTAGGCTTAACATAGAGATGACATGGGTCCTCTTGTCGACCATCTCAAAAGCCTCGGTGCAACGAAAATTCTAACGTATGACGATCT